GCCCAAAAGTTGACACAGAGTCTAAGTAGAAAACCAATGTACTACATGCATGTTCATGTGTGATAAATTAATGTAATTGTAGCTTTATGTTATAAAAGTAAAATTGCAATATATTAAATATAATCAACAAACCATCTTCTAACAGGGATTATATAAAGATGTGTAGTCCTATAAGTTTCTACAAGAGTACAGAATTGCTGTATATTGGCAAAAATATCACAATTTTTATAGTATGTTTTCTAATTTCAAGAAGAATGCATTTATTACAACATGCATGTATTCTGCACTGTAACACAAAATAAATATTATAAAAGGTAAGGTTATTGACAATTGTGCCAAATTTAGCTTCCATTTCACATTGATCATGAATGCATATTATATACTTTTTGCAACTTGATGTTCAATGTTAAGTGAATTTAACTCTTGGAATAGACTTAACATAAGCATTTATGTAAGATCTTCGTGGTTTTATACTTGAAAACTCAGGAACATGACCATAATAAAATTACTGCGGTACGCAGTTAAGCAGTTATTTATTTTCTGCACGTTTCTAAAGGCATTTGTCTAAGTGACTATAACAATAGTGTTGTGTCATGTTAAATCGTGCAGTTGAATTATGTCAGTATTATAGGAGTAGTCCTAAGTGAGTTCGTCCTTCGGGTCTACGTAAGCGACTACTGTAATCGTCGTAGTTTTCTTTCCTTCGAAACCATGCCTTTGGACTCTCAATCTGGTTTTAAATCTTCCTCCGGCAGTGGCCACGACGGTTTAGAGGTCGTTTTTAGCACATTTTCTGACATGATCGATGCTAAATTTGCCCAATTCGGAAAGCAGTTACAGATGGACGAAGCTATAAAGAAGGCGAAACGGGATTCCTACGTGTGGAAAAGAAAGGCAACCAGCAACAGTTGGATTTCACCGTGAGCGTTTTAGAGAAACTTGAGGACGCGAAAACTCTTCTGGAATCCGACTCTACGGAAGGAGCAAAGAGAAAGATCAGCGAAGGAACCGAAGAAGAAGAGAGTTAAGGCTATCAAATTGCCCGACAAAAGTGATTATGGTTGGGCCACCGTTAATGAATATCTGTCCGATGAATTGGCTTCTGACTCCGATGACGAAAAGCGTATCTACAGATCAGAAAGGCCAGCTGAAAAGAAAGTCAAAGAAAAGCAAAGACAGAGGCTGAAGAGCTTTCAAAAGTCGAAAAGCGTGCCATCATCAAATCAGAGTTCTCGCGGCTCTCCAATACTTGGACGCAGGCTTGGTCCATGTTTCAAGATAAGTATTACTTTATACGTTTTGTACTTGCTTTGTTTCACTTCGGCTGTTGTTGTATTACCTACAGTCGCTTATAAGACCAATACAATATTCAAAAAGTATTGCTAGTGTGTGATGTGTGTGTTTAATGCCGTTGAATAGTGTAGAACTAACATTTTCTCCTAAAGTTTTGAAGTACTTGTTTTCTGTATTAGGCCAATCGTTTATAGGCTTGTTAAATATTATACCATTTGTAATGTCTTTTATAATTGACATTAAAACATCATCTTTCTTAATTAAAAAAATGAGGCTGACTGTGTTTCTGGATGATATGATTCAAGGATAGTGTAGTTAGTTCTGGTGCACTCCATCTGTAACTGTGGTTGAATATAGTAGCTTGGTTGTTTTGCTAAGGATTCCAATGGGCCATCAGCTTTTTCAGCTCTTGTTTTAATTTCCAAAAGAAATGGAGAAGCTGCAATAGCATCAGGACTACCACCATAATTGCTATCATGAGGATCTTCAAAGAAACCACAACTTTCAGTTTGACTTTTCGATACTTGGCACAAATGGGATATTGCTTCTTGCTCATGTTCATGCCCTCGTTTGAAATTTCTTAAGTTTGTGTTCAGGATATCACTTTCATTTAATCCCTCTTTCACTACTTTCCAATACTTTGAGTATTTATCTTGACCATATAATCCAAGTAATGCAGGCAATCTACTTCCTGTTATTTTGTGTTTTCTGATAGCCATCCAGTCAGCAGTGTTTTGATTGACTCCATAATAGTTTTCCCAACTGAGAAGTGGTGCCTTCCTATTGTTAATATCAATAGTAACTATAGGTACTTCTTCTTTGAGTTGGGTCTCAATACTACTAGTCAGTTCAATAACTTTAGAAACATCTTCATGTGTTGCTTCTCTTGTAATTTGGATGTTATCATTATTAGTAGCACATTTAGGTCTCAATGCTCTTTGAATGTTGTTGGTTATTTCATCCTTTTTCGCTTTAAAAGAATTATCTGTATACAAGGAAATTGAGTTTTTGCAGTAATCATGGTCAACTAGCATTTCAGCAGCTCTTAACGAATACCTGTATTCAAGGTGCTGGGACAGTGATGTAGGGCAAATAGATGAATTCAAAAGAACAGAACATACATGGTGTTCAAAAGGCTTGAAGCTCAACTCAAATTTTGTTATCTTTCCTTTTCTATTATATTATCTTATATTATTTTATATTTCTTTTTGACCTACTGTTTTGGGGATCAGCTGCTTCAAGTATTGTCCCCTTTCTTTTCTTAAGAGCACATTTAGCTTTCAACTTTCTCAATGACATCATGGGTATAGAGCTATTTTTTGAATGGCGGTGCCAATTTTGTAATTGCTCTGTACAAGTTAAAGCACGAATCCTCTCCCCTGTTTCATGGTAATGCTTCAAAAACATTAGTAATGCTAGCACATGACAGCAAAGCCCGCTCTTCCCAACAGGGCAACGACAGTAAGCTTTAACCGGAGTGCCGTCACTAAACATCAACACAGCTGTGCGTTGTAAGATACCGTAGGATTTCTTTATCATTCCTTTGACATAGGTTAATGATCCATCAATAATAATAATAATAATAATAATAATAATAATAATAATAATAATAATAATAATAATAATAAATAATAATAATAATAATTTATTAATTTATATAGCGCAATTAATTATTAAAATATTCTAATATACTTTTGGGGGGAAATACTTCTTAAGGCACTTATAAAGTTGATAGCTTTATTCCATACGTTTCGCCTTTTCAGGCTTCATCAGTGGATACAACTGAATGGCTAGTTTGAATAAATTACAAAAGTTATGCGAATATATTATTAGGTTCAATTGTTATTAGATGTTTAAGTAACGTCCAACGCAGCCATTCATAAGGGTGTCAGAGCTAGTGTTCTTTATTTCAATGGCTTCTATTATCCTTCGCTCGCGTACATTGTGTAGGTTGGTATGTATGATCTTCCACTTTAAGTCATTAAAGCTCGGTTCACTGGTGTGTTTTGTCATATGAACATGGACAGTCTGTTGTGTGTTTACATGTTCTTTAATCCTAGACCCGATGGTTCTGCCAGTTTCACCAATGTAAACTGCATTGCAATGCATACAAGTGATCTGATATACACAGTGTTTTAATAAGCAGCAGTTCTCTTTTTCCGCATTAGAACATGTGATGCAGTTAGGAGGACATTCTTGTCTTTCTTTGGGCGGTGCAAAGATTCTCGCTGATCTGCGTCCGTTGATGTAGTGTATCTTTATGTTGTCAATCCCTGTTCTGTGAATGACAGCTTGAGTTCGGCGTTTGTACTCTTCGTTAATAAAAGGAACTTTGAGGTGTATTACTTTTTCGTCATTCTCCGTAGGGTGATGTGTCTTTGTTGCTTTTTCCATGTTGTTTTGTACAAAAGACTTCGGGTATCCATTTCTTCTGAATAGTTGTTTGATTAAGCGGAGTGATTTGGTTCTTGAAGATGAGTTGGTTGATCTCGATATAGCTCTTTTGGTCTCGCCGATAAGTAGGCCACGTTTCTGGGAGATTGGGTTGTGGCTATCCCAGGGTGTGACACATTGACTGTGGATCGGCTTGATATAAAGCGAGGTGTTAAATTTTCCGTCATCTGGGTTTAGTGTTACCATGGTATCGAGAAAAGGAAGTTGGTTGTTTTTTGGAAGCTCAATGGTAAACTCAATTGATTTATTTAGCTCATTGGCGATCTTGAGTAGTCTTGTTGGATCAATATCATTTGTTGACCAGGCTACAAACATATCATCGATGTATCTTTTGAGATATAACGGCTCATCAAATGTTGTGAGGATGCCTTCGTCTAGCTTGTTCATGTAGATGATCGCCATTGTTGGTGCCAGGTTGTTACCCATAGCTAAGCCG